AACCAAAGAATGCTACCATCAACGCTAGAGTCGCTCCGACGAAATTGGAGACTACGTGACACTTGGCAGTGTTTTCGATGAGGATGGCAAGGTGCCAAATCAGGAAATTTGAACAGAACACATCAAGTTGGCGAACGACGGCAACCGAGAGAACATTTTGAACGTGATTCCGCACATTTACCCAATTTCTGTCCGTGAGCGTGACCGAATAATAGATCTTGATCACACATCGTTGCTAAAGACGAACTGACGCCATGAAATCATTTTCACTAGGTTTCACTTTACCCGTGAAATATTTTGTGACAGGAGGAGTAGAGGACAAAGTCCTCGATCACTTCACTAGGGTGCGCCACCATAAATTACTTCCGTGTTCCATAGCTATCTAGGGGACTGTAAAGGACCTCTATGGGGACCCCGAAGAGATCGCAGGGTAATTGATGCCATAGCTAAGGTAGCCAGCCCTCCTCTTGTAAAGACGCAGATGGACTCATCCAAAACTCCTACAGAGCAAATGGCCTAATTACAATTTTTTAGGGTCGTGGGAGAGGAAGGAGAGAGCGAGAAAACAAAGGTTCCTCGTGAGATGAGTGATTTGTGTAGGTGATGCTGAGCCAGAACGAACCTAAGGGAAACTGTACGAATCCAAACTAGTGAGATCGGGGGGTCTTCAGCAGGACAAGGTAGGGGCATGGTCAACCAATCGCTGAATCTTTCCCAACGGGGAAGTCTTTCTGACCTTTGGGAAGAAAAATTTGCTTTGAAATGAGCACCACGTTTTTGAGAGATTGGAGGGCAAGAGTTGTTAGTGATATGATCTGGTTGGACCTGGGGCTGCAGTAGAAAAGCCCGGATGGGGGTCACGGTAGCACTTAGGAACCCGAAATTCACCCAACTTATCGGAGCGCTATCGCAAGATACGGGGACATCCTACAGAACCAAGCCTACAAGGAAGCAGGAGCTCGAGAAAAATGAAAATTGCACTCTGGGATCCTGTGCCTCTCCTCCTCCGTCCAAAGTTTGGTCCTAATTTAACACAAAGGAGATGTTTTGCGGTGTTTCAAATGCATTGCCACCACAATCCCCGTAAATTGCGATAGCGCCATTTTTGGTACTCCACTGGGAGAATCTCTTGCTGCACGGAAGTGAGGGGCTCTTATCGCTCCTTTTTGATCAATCCAGTAAGAATACGCCGCGTACACGATTTCTTCTCAAAGCAAAGATGAATTGAAGACGTCGAATAAGTGAGAGTGTGCTAGCAATCTGCACACGCACACACACACAGCGACAGCGCCCTTCGCCACTGCGCCGCTTATTCAAGCAGTTTCTAATAATAGAACTAATTATGAAATCTGCTGGTGCAAAGCCAGTACGCAAGCACCTATCCAGTTTCTCACGGACCCGATATTACAACAGCACACGACGCCGAGTTGCCCCACTCTCCTTCTCTCTCGAACTGAACTGAACTGAACCGAACCACATCAAGGAGGCTATTACGGTAACGAGGCACGATGTGCATACTGTAAACGCGTCCGCGTTGGCCACACGTCGTGCGATCGGCAATGATCGCGGACGCAAAAACGCCGCTCTGAAATCTAAAGAACCCTTTCAAGGTTTTTCAATAGCCACACGGTATCTTGAAAAGGTCAGGAAAGCGTAAATGTAGATGAGACAGGGAGCGTTTTCCCCCAGAATGATCTTGGAACTGTGCATAAAAGATCAACGGGAAAAGAATAAACAGCTGAACAGAAGAAGAAGTCAGTCGAGAGGATTCATTCCGGTCAAAAGCTTCCCTGAGAAAGAATTACCAGCGGTGCAGAACTCGAACCTCTCAGTACAGCGGTTGCATACCAGCCAGCTTAATGGAGAAAGAGTAAAAAAAGGAGACCGAAATCCGCTTGAACATCAACTAACACTAAGAAGGAACAAAAAGAGCAGGAGCGGAGGATCTGGTTACCAGCAGAGAAAGGTCGGGGGGCTGAGCTGAGACGTCATGGTTACTGGAGCGCTATCGCACATGAAGGCATAGTGGCAATGCATTTGGAAGCGCGTAGTACATCTTCTTCCCGGCAAAAACGGGTCTAAGTTTCTAGTGGAGCAGAAATGAGCAATTTCCTCATTTCCCTAATGCTTCCTTAGTCTACTGGGCTGTCTACAGATGCCCCTGTATCTTGCGATAGTGTCTTACGGTGCTAAACATATAGGACAAACCAATTCTGGCTTGACATAGAAACTACCAATTCTGGCCTTGACATAGAAAGCTAATACAGCTCAAAACTCCTGTGTAGCACTCGGATTTCTGGCAGCGCTCTTTCACAGCTCAAAGCAATGAGCTTCTAGCAGAATCCATTATCCGATACCGATCTAGTACCAGGTGTCTTCTTCAGAATTGGCATTCCAGAGCGACAGCAAGAGTTAAAGCGGGAATTCGCCCTTTCCTAGCCGTAGCCTACTTCGTTGAAAACCTACTAGGTTAACAATGGTGCGAGATAAAACCGAGATCACATGGTGGACGAGTTGAGGCAAACACGTCCCGACTCAGGCTTAATGAGAGAGCTGAAACCAGCTATCTGGAGCAAACTGTTGCTATCATGTGCTAGCTTCATAAGTGCACCTTGATTGGAATCAAGTGAGTTCTTTCTCTCTCTGGAGCTGGGCGGTTCTGCCCGAAGGACCGCTTGCAAGGACGAAAGGCTAAAAGTGCCATAACGTCAGGGGCCTTACGACAGGTCAGAAACGAGAGAGTTCAAAGAACAATTCAGTGGAAGTGAAGCATAAAAAACGGTTCTGCCCTTTATAGCCAGCAATAGAAATGCCCTGGAAAAGGTTCACATACTCAAGGCGATCACTGATGCGATCGCCCCTCTAAACCGTTACGGTGGCACAGAAACGTGTCAGAAGGCCACCGACACCGAGTGTTCTGGAGAGCAACTGAAAGGAACTCATCGGATGATGGTAGCGAATTTCGCATGCGCACGGCCCATCGGTTGTGTGTGGACGGTTTTTTGGTCATTTGTCTGGCGCCAGTGGAATGAGCAATTTCGACGTCTCGTTGAGGTCGTGGTGGTGTATGAAAGCACAGGGAGATTTCAAAACGAGGACGATAGCGGACATAATATGAAATTGGTTTCGATTCCCCTCTAAATTCTTACTGCTGAAGAAAAAAGTCTAATTGTGATTGATTCCAGGTGAAGGAGTCGTATTTGTCACATTTGGCACCACACAAACCCGGTGCCTGTTGTACAG